CGCCTTTCGGATAATGGAATAATAGTCAACCCCGACAAGTGTGAACTCGGGAAGAAGGAAATAAAATTCTTAGGTCATGTTATTAAGCATGAGGGTATTTTACCTTGTGAGGATAAAGTACGTACGATAATGGAGTACACTGTACCGTCCACACTCAAGGAACTGAAGGCATTTCTCGGTTTGGTCAACTTCTACCGACGCTTCATTTCGCACGCGGCAGAACAGTTACGACCGTTAACCGATTTACTTCGCGTTAATCCACGCAAACTGGAATGGAATGACGCCGCACGTACTGCATTTTCAGATGTCAAAACAGCTCTAGCTCAAGCCACACTTCTCGTGCATCCTGACCCATCAGCCACGCTTAGTATAGCGGTTGATGCATCGGATTTCACCATGGGAGCCGTTATGCAACAGAATATCTCCGGTAATTGGCAGCCCCTCGAATTTTTCTCACGACGCCTCACTCCCACGGAGACGAGATATAGCGCTTTTGGTAGCGAACTGCTAGCAGCCTACTGCGCCATCAAACATTTTCGACACGCTGTAGAAGGTCGTAATTTCATCCTATTCACCGACCATAAGCCCTTAACGTATGCCCTGCATACCAAGTCTGACCGCTACTCACCACGAGAGTGCAGACATTTGGACTATATCTCTCAGTTCACGACAGACCTTCGTCATGTCAAAGGCGAGTCGAACTGTGTTGCTGATGCTTTATCACGTATCCAACTTAATGCAGTTACTTTGCCAGTGCTCGATCTACCTGCTATGGCTGCCGCCCAAGCAAACGATACTTCATGCACGGAAGCACAACAGTCTACGTCCCTTCAGTGCCGGGAAGTACCCCTAGCTACTAGCTCTGGTGCTATCCTACGCGATACTTCCACGGGCCTCCCTCGACCCATCGTACCCTCCGCTTATCGCCGTCTCGTCTTTGATACCCTTCATGGTTTATCTCATCCTGGTATCGCAGCCACACTACGCCTCATCGCTGCACGATACGTCTGGCCGTCCATGAATAAAGATGTCCGTATGTGGGTAAAGCAATGCTTACAATGTCAACGATCAAAAGTGCACAGGCACGTAGCTGCCCCTATTGGCACTTTCGCTACGCCTGATGCTCGCTTCGATCACGTTCACATAGACATTCTAGGACCATTACCACCATCGCACGGGTATGATCACATACTCACGTGCATTGATCGTTTCACACGATGGCCCGAAGCTATTCCCATCACGTCTATTACGGCGGAGACAGCTGCTCACCGCTTCGTAGAACGATGGATAGCTATGTACGGTTGTCCCTCGACTGTCACAACTGACCGAGGACAACAATTTGAGTCCGCATTATTCTCCTCATTAACACGACTGCTTGGTACGGAACGCATACGCACTACCGCCTACCATCCAGCATCAAACGGTTTAGTTGAACGGTTTCATCGCCAACTTAAAAGTGCTCTTCGAGTACACGAAAACAACAATTGGTACGAAACCTTACCGCTCGTTCTCCTGAGCATCAGAACGAGTTTAAAGGCAGATATTCAATGTTCCGCCACTGAACTTGTTTATGGCACGACATTGCGTCTGCCTGGGGAATTTTTCACACCACGGAGCAGCACTAAGTTCGGCGAATCAGACTATGTCCAACGACTGTCTGCATTCATGCGATCACTGACTCCGGTGTCAACTCGCATACAACATCGACAGGTCGCTCTCCCTCGAGAGTTATCTACCTGTTCACATGTTTTCATACGAGTAGATTCGGTATGCAAACCTCTACAACAGCCTTACGAAGGACCTTTTCACGTGATTTCCCGTCACGAAAAGACCTTCAAGGTTGATCGACATGGCCGCATCGAAACAGTCAGCATTGATCGTCTCATGCCAGCACACGTCGATGACAGTGCTATACCTGATAAGCCGAGACCGAATGTTAGACCCATCAAAGCTTCTAACGGGATCTCTACATCTACTTCGGATCCCACGCTAGATGCTTCTGAGACCTCATTCTCACGTCCCAGTCAACAGCACGTGTCATCTGCCCCGTCTACTGACGAGACTTCCGTCTCACTTCTAGACCAGCAGACCACACCGCCCTTGACTGCGGATGAGATTGTAGGCTCACGAGGTTCGAACGAGACTACCGTCTCACGTTCCGGTCTCCGAGTACGCTTACCTGTACGCTTTCGCGACTAACCTCATAACCGGCAGCGGATACAGTATAGGACCTTAACCCTATACTACACGAATGCTACACTCTTCTCTTTTTCTCTCATTTTTTTTTTGTTTTCCCCGAGCCTACGCCTCCAACCATCGCTGTTAAGGTATCGTCGACTTCAGTCATCTTTGGAGAAAGCTGGCCTGATCACCCACGCTCTAGTCAACGCACTCAGTCGACCTCTCTGGCTCCAAATACGTATGGTATACATTTGGTCCCGAACATGGTTATCCTGGTCGCATCTGGTTCCTTGGCTCAATCTGGTTTCGTCCTACATCTGCAGCGTTTCTGGTCCGGACCTCTACGAACGCAACCTTCAGATTCTGGATACAAACCACTCTGGTGTAGCATGCTAATCCAAGCAATCAATACAGTACAATCCTTCTGGTACCGTTCTACGTCAAAGACTTTTGGTGGCAACTCGAGGATCAACGATCACTTCCTGTTCTGCCAACGCCTTCGTCCTACAATTGCACGTTTCGCGATCAGTCCCACGAATGAAACCGCTACGTATCGAAAGTGTAAACCCTTTCTAGCGGGGGGCTCCTGTAGTGACCGGCAAGTCTCGATAAGAACACGATTGGAATAACGGAAACAATTATTATTATTGTAACCAATTGTACCAGAGATTGTTTTACTGTATTTGTTTAACTGTATCAGTTTCACTTCTTGTTCCGCTCTCCGCCTTGTTTGGTTCGAACTTGCTCACGTACTGCCTGTTCGCCTGTACTCTTTGGCACATCTCGGTATTATTTCGATACCACGAGATCGCCAATAAATACAATTGATCTGGATTAATAAAGTCTTCTGATTTACGAGCTATCAAAGGAACCAAGTCGTTTTTGGGCGCGTAAACGAATTGTAGTGGTGATCATAGTCCGTCTTCGACTCGACATCCACTACACTGTCATAAGGTGTCTGAAGAGGCATTCAAATCCCTAAAATCAGTAGCTCTGAAAGTCTTCAGCATTTGACGCTGATCGCATTAGTTTTACTGGATTCACCTAGCTGAAGGCGCTCGGTCACAAGTCCAAACCAGTTCACGAGTGGGTACGCCGTTCTTCATATTGTAGCTGTAAATAATTCCTCAAAATCAATAGCTCATTAAGTGTTCGACATTGGATGCTGACCATTGTTTAAGTGGACTTGTTTAATTGAAGGCTTTCAGTCATGCATTCGTACGAGATCACGTTTCGACTCAGCGTGGGACACAGCTCCTACGTCCACTAGCCAACTTAAAACAAACGCTCCTCGATATATTGATAACGTATCAAATATATCTTTCCTACCTCTTCTCGTCTGACTTCTGATTTACATTGGTCGGGAAGAAGCTTCATATATAGAAGGTGCTACAGGTAGCAGGTTGTAAAATCAGAATACCAGTCGTATCTTCAACATCCCCTATAACCTCTAGCTAGCTTAGACTGATCTCTTCTCTATATATTGATAGCTTTCCAAATCCCTTCGCTTCTGATTTCTGATTTGATTGGTTGGGTTGGTATGTTTCGATTATAGCTGTTACTGGTAAAAGCGTTGTCCAACTCCGAGTGCTTGTGGTACCTTTTAGGTTTTCCACAACTTTGTAAAGACTGAGTTTTAGTTATTCTGGAGGTTTCTCAATACTGAATCTCCCGTTTGTTAAAATGTTCTTTATGTCCACTATCCTCAGGCAAGATATCCTCTTTCTGGAGAGTTTTAAAAGAACAACAAATGAGGTGCTTCGACTAAGGAATAAACTTTTCTCACTTGGAGGGTTTTAGTTTGTAACTCATGAAGTACAGAACTAAAAGGGAGATAAAATTATGGTATATCAGGTTAATGGTCTATAACCCCTGTGGTTTGAAAGTAATTTTTTACATATGGAGAAATACTTTAATCGAGTCCTTAAAAACTATGAAGAAGACTAATTATTTGTCACTGGCTATATGCTAAAAAACAAAACTGGTAATTGAACTTCTTATTAGTTGGTCAGTTTGCTAAGGAACCTTCATATTGTAGTCGTGTCATAAAAGAACTATGGGTGTGCGATTACGTTATAATACTTGGATATAACTCCTGGTGCTCCAAAATAACAGTATAGGTTTGAAGTACCTAAGTGGAAGTCTAATAATGATAAAAAATGAAACGACAGTGAAATAAGTTCACGAGTGCTATTAAAGAAATGCTTTTCACACAAAGAGACTTATTCACAAAGAATATATTGGTTTCATTGTATTCTTCACACCTATTTGAAAACCGGCAGTGTGGCAGTACCTTTGTGCTTTCATCTAGTATATTTTGCTCCGAACAGATCTACTCATCAAACGTATGCTCTTAACCTTGTTAAGTATTTTAGGGCCCTTCTGTGTACTTCTCTTATCGATAGCCTTGTTAACTTAGTTGATGAACACTTTTGTGCTTGGTTGTTTTATGTATATCTGTCATTTATACTTTGCAATCCATAAATTATTCACTTGATGTAAAGACTAGGTCAACCACTTATCATTGAGTAGGATACTGTTGCCACTCCAAGTCATATCTAATTCTGCCAATCTGAGTGTTTGTATTATGCACATTCGAACCGCATTCATATTCCAAATTTTATTTTCACGTTGAATACAAGTGATTAGTTGACAGCACATATTCGGAGTTAGGTGGGATACATATTCCATCAACACTATTATTCTTTAACCCTATAGGAATCTTAAAGACTATATCCCGTTTCTCCATACTTCTAATGAATTAGGATCATATGCATGGCTTCAAAATATAGATATTTCTGTACATTGAATAGATATTAGGTCGAACACTGCTACTTAAACAGCAGAGTTCGAGTGTAGTCAGGTTTTCTTTAAGTTCGTTACTTCTCAGTTGTATCAGCGTGGCGGCAGACAAGGTGTGTTTGTTTTTTTGTACCATTAATACACATTTTGATCTATTACTTGGAGATATTGTAGATAAAATCAAATTTTATACCAGTAGGTCAAGTTAAACTACTTTATAAAACTTTCAATAGGTTCATAAGAGCTTTATATTCACCAACATATTTTTATAATGTTTGGTTGGCATTCGTGATCGGGTGTAAGTGTTAATAATTACCAAGAGTTCAATACTTTTCATTCCTTTTTAAAAATATTATTATCATCTCTCAGACCTCTTTTTTATGTTGTCAGGGCTAGAACACTCAATATAGGTCATCTCATCAAAAACGTACATGGTAGCTTGCGATCTCTGACAAATTTGTCAGAGGTCATTTAACTGATCTCTGTCAGCTTAAATTTGGAAGTTTGCAAACTGTTGACGTAGGATTAAGTCGGACAATGTCTTCCGATGGAGTGATATTGATTTATAGTTTTCATGAGACAATTTCAGTTAATATATGTTTGTTACTGTCAACACTCAAGCCACTTTTGCCTTTGTTAACTGTGACTCAGATTTCTAGAGGATCATATGTGGTAGTAAAGACATTCCAAGTAGAAAATTGTAATAATAGACTGACCGAAGGTCAGATGAAACTTAATGCTCCTGTGTCCGACGGGTTCAGTGAAGCTGGCCTATTCAGAAGTTTTTCAAAGTGTTCTACCCATCTGCTCCTCTATTCTTGAATCTCACTGACTGGCTTGCCTTTTCTGTCTTTGACCGGTCACTTTGGCTTACTATATTTCCCTGCCGGTTTTTCATTGTATCATAGTTGTTTCATATTCCTTCTCTTGCAACTTTTTCCGTCGTCGTTGCTAGTTCTTCCATAAATTTCTGCTTTTCGGCTTCAATGCTCTTCTTCACTTGCTTGTTTGCTTCAGTGTATTCAGCTTGTGGCTTGACTTTGTCTGGTTTTATTCGGCTGTTGTTAATTGCTGTTTTCTCTTTCTTTTCTTGAATGCTCCTCAGGGTTTCTATTGAGATCCATTCCTTATGATAATGCCTCTTGCTTCTTAGAACCCTCTGACATGTTGAAGTTAGTTCTTCTTTGTTCTCTTCCCAATCGTCTTCCATAGTAGTTTCCTCCTTTGTGCGTAGATCTTGTAATGCTTGGAACCTGTTGTTGAAAGCTATCTAGAATTCGTTGAGTTTGTATCTCGAAGGCTGTATTGAACCTGTGTAATGCTGTTTCCTTAGTTGTCCATTATTTCTTTAGATTCTGTTTCATCTTTCCAATCACCAGGTGGTGACCTAAAGCTGTGTAAGCTTCTTTCCTAGTTCTCACGTCTTCCACTGACCTGGATTTCTTACTGATGCAAATATAATTGACCTGATTCTCTGTAGTGTAAAAGGCGAAAGATTTATCCGCGCATATATATCTGGTGCCCTCTTGTATCAATATTTATGTTTAAATAAATAAATAAATAGTGCGATCCAGTGAGACCCATGTAGCTTTGTGTGGGAATATTGTGCCACCTATAACCATTTTGTTTAATGTACATTTGCAAATCTCTTCCTATCCTCGTTCCTTTCTTCCAATCGTTGTTGTACCATCATATCTTCATACTCGGTGTTTTCCATTCCGACTTTGGTGTTTAGGTCTCCCATCAGGATGGTCATGTCTTTTCCTGGGCACTTTGCTGCAACTGAGTACACCCTTTCATACAACTGATCTTTATTGTCATTGTTGCTATCATTGGTGGTTGAATAACACTGGATAACATTCATTGTGATTTCCTATCTCTTTATCTTGAAGGACACTTTGATGATCCTGGATCCGTGAGATTCTCATCCTATAAGTGCATCACATGCTTCTTTTGACAACATTAAAACAAATCCCTTTGTGTGGAACATTTTCTTTTTGACTACAGCACAGCAGCATCTCTCCCGAATCTATTCTTTTTCTGTATAGCTTGAGTCCAATAGGTTTTACTTATTCCGAGAGCCTCCAAGTTGTATCTCCTCATACCCGCAGCTATCCAATTGATCCTCCTGGCCTCCCACATTGTCCACACATTACATGTTCCTATATTAATTGTTTCTCTCGCTATTAGGATGGGCATCGGCCTCGTGACTTCCGAAGAATCACGTTTTTCACCATGAGGCGTCATAATTCTTTTGAATGAAGATCCTTCAACTCAGAGGGCAGAGTTTAAATGGTTTAAATTATGTACTCTGGTTGGCGTTTCTTAGCAATGTTGGTTTTTGCGGGATGGAGTTGCTGACCCCATGACAAACCCTTTACCTTTGCCCAGACTTGGGACTATCCGTAACTCTAGAAGAGCTACAGGCATATTTGCGTCTATCCATTTCGTCTTTATCAATACTATCAGGAAGGTGATCTGAATGATTACCTTTTTTCTCTTAGTTTTCGACATCATGGTGCTCTATATATTTCATTCATTCCTTTCAACCTTTTCAGTCGATTTTTTACTACTGTGCAGACTTATTCTCACTGCTTGATTTTTCTTGCGTTATGCTGATCTGAAGCGGGACGATTTGGATTGATGTCTATCCATCCTAAAACCTAGGTAATCAGTATCCGTATTTCTGCCCATTAAGTCATGCTTTTGACCCTTTTTCGGTCAAATTTTATACATTTTCCGTAGTGCTTAGTTTGTGAAGTGTATAGTTATTGAGTGGTATTATTTTTTATTATCCAACTTACATTTCTTAGTTGTGTACTTTTGAAATAATCTACATTTTGATAGACTAAACTTGATTTATCATTGTTTTAATTTTCTTATTTTCAGCCTAACAATGTTCTATGCACATTTTGTACTGAGCAAAAAGGGTCCTTTGGCCCGTATATGGCTAGCTGCTCATTGGGATAAAAAGCTTACCAGGGCGCATGTTTTCGAAACAAATATCAGTTCTAGCGTCGAGGCAATTTTAGAGCCAAAGTTAAAAATGGCATTAAGAACTTCTGGACATTTATTATTGGGTGTAGTGAGAATCTACTCTCGTAAGGCTAAATACCTACTAGCTGATTGCAATGAGGCGTTCGTTAAAATTAAGATGGCATTTCGTCCAGGCGTTGTCGACCTTCCAGATGAAGCTAATCGCGAAGCTGCTATCGCAGCTATCACTTTACCAGAGAATATTCATGATTTCGAAGCAACTATAGCCGATCTCAAGTAAGTGATATTTAGTATAATTATCTTACATCCATTTACAGTGAGATAAATATGAACACTATAGCAATAAATCAAAGTCGTCCGGAAGATATAACTATGCGTGAAGATTTTGGTGAAATTAATCTAGGACGACAAGATGATGATTTTGGAGATTCAGCATTCGATGAAGTATCAAGTCGTGAAATTATTCGTGAAGGCGATAAAACATTTGGTGACAGTATTTATCGTGGAAGTGATCATTTGTCAATGCATCATGATGCTGATTTCACGTTAAACCCTGATCAAGATTTGGATGCCACTTTAATCGATGTTAAACGGGGTGGTAGGCTATCTGATGCAGAAAAACCAATTAAGTCTATTGATTCAATCACACATCATGATGATATTGGAATGGTTGATAATGAATTTGATGATGACTTTTTGGGTAAGTTCTGTTTTTTATTTATTTTTAAAAATCTGTGTGATATTATCCTGAAGGTGGTGTGTGAATTATGTATGTAGTCAGGGGACTTCTCTCTGGGGAAAATGTATATTTGTGTATAGTCCTTCGTTTATTCTGTAATTTGGCCGTCACATTTAGTTTTAAGTTAACTAAGAGTCAAAGATTGTGATGTATTTTATTTATAGATGAATCTGAAATAAGCCCTGTTTAGTGGGATTTGTTTTAAACACAGGTTAAATGTACATTCTTGGACACTTGAAAAAGAGATATTTGTTGAATAGCTAGTCTCTGTTTACATGTAGTATGAGTCATGTCAGATAACATGGATGTTCACTACTATTAATGTGTAGTCCGAAAGTTTAAAAATGGGCCAGCAATAAAGCAATGTGCCTTAACTTCTAAGAGTATTCTTGTGATACTGTTACGTATGCATACCACGATGAGACTTTCTACTTTATTTTCAAACTACATAATAACTGCTGATTTAAGTCTACTCTACTTAATGATGTCTTTTTATTATTTCTACATCCCAGTTCACTTTAAATCAGTTTTTCAATTCTTAAATTGGTTTCCCTATGAATTTAGTATTTAGGGATTCAACATCTCAAGCACTTCAAAAACTATGAACTCTTACGAGGCCCGGGAAGAAGTGAAAAGTGGTTATGCATCTTAAATACATCTATCCAACCCAAGTACAGATTTATGTATCTTTTTCTGTGTCACACATCAGATGTGAAGGCTGTTAATAACTACTCTTATGTTTAAATCGATGAGCTATAATGTTGGGTTTAAATCTACCTGTTACTTGTTGATTAAAAGCTGATTTTGATCACCAAGCCGTTGACCTATTACACGATTCATTCTTACTACGAATGGTACTTATGTAGAGGCTAATTTGTCTCACTTAATTACTTGTCTGCTGGATCATGGCAACTAGTTGTCAGTTGGCTTCTGAAAAGTATTGTTCGTAAATTGCATTACCATGACAATTTTACATAGCCCGGAGCATCATTGTTAAATTTGAATGATAACAGTCCTAAATATTAAACATCAGAGTATTATTTAAACAATTTAGTGGTTAGGTTTGTGTCTGGATCCCTTTATTATTTAATTTCATCAAACTTCCAACTTTCCTGAAATTTTATCAAACCTAAAAGTATGGAAAAGAAGTTTTATAGTAGAGTAACGCTTAAACAACGAACTTAGAGGATTTCACCGCCTTAGGAATAATAAACCCACATGTAAATTCTTTCTCATGTACTGGGTATATTCAACATTAAGCCACTTTTTCATCGCTTTACCTCAGTACTATTAAACTTGAATAAGAGAGTGAGAGAGAGTTGAAGAACGTATATCGTCAGCTTCCTATAGATTGTTAGTTTATGATGAAAAGAAGCTCACTGAAATTGTAATTAAGACTGTGTTTTAATACTAAACATAAAATTTGACTTGTCTTCACAACATCAGGTCATATAAAATTCATTAATTAATGAAAACTATCACGGCTGTATTTCATATTTTATTTACTGAACAACATTATTTTTTCTCAATGATCAGCTGAACCGGATGATGATGACGAGAATTTTGGTGGTCGAATTGTTCATTCATTATTCACTGATGGTATATTTGAAGATCCATCAGCTCAGAAACAATTAGAAAATTTAACATCTGAAATCGAATCTCATATGGTCACAGGTCGTTTTGATCTACATCATGATGACATTACTGCCACTCCAATTCCAACATCGAATAATGAAGACTTAATACCGAATGCCGCCACTGTCAGTAAACCATTAGACGCTTTTTCTACAGTGTCAACATCAGTAAATGAGCTGATGACAACAACAGCCGCAACAACTGTAGGGATGACGATAACTTCTGAGACACCTGGATTTGTTGCTCCAACTAGTCTACCAACTGACACAACATCCAGAGTTGGACTAGGGGTTACTGCAATGACAGAGAGTACAACTTTAATTGGCAATGAATCTGAAGCGTTTGCCTTACCCCCTATTGAGGCAACATATACAACAGTAGGCGTTGAACCAAAACGGTAAACTATTTTATCTTTTTTCTATCCCAAATTACATAAATCATCTTGTAGTTTAATTACTTCCCTGTCAGTGGCTCTGTACGCGTGATCAAGTGTTATTTTAAGCCTTGATAATTGGTCTGTACTTCCACTTAATTAGCCATCATATAAGTATGGTTATATAAACGAGTATACATGAGCTTATGCTTGTATCTGCCTACATATTAATTCCACTGTAGTGTCGGTTGATACGTTAAGCCCGTATACCGTATTCTAGCTTCTGGACAACTCAGTTTACCTACCCATCATGAGTCACGTTTTGACCTTGTTAATTATTCACTTATTAACTATGACTATTTCTATATGAGGGTATATGTGTGTACACTTTTTATCTTACTCATCACATGTCTGTAACTTATTCTTGTCTGACTATAAATGTTGATGAAGTCTTGATTAAAGCGAGTTGGCTTACTCGCCATCTCCAATGTGTGTCGTTTCTGCCTCTATCTCTTCTATTCGCTTCATCCCTCTGATTTCTTGTCCAGATCAGTGAGTGTTCAAAATGTATCTATTCTAAATCCCTTCTCGTATTTGACTTATTTAACTCCGTTGTTCATCAACACGAATTAAGTCATTTATTGCATACAAGGATAACGAGGATGTATATTTTGACAACAATCATTCATATGACCGAATTGGGAATCAGATCATGGCCCAACAAAAGTGGTGAGCCGCATTTGGAACACTAAACCACTTACTCAAGCATTAATTGCTTAAACTATCTTATATACATATTTAATAGACAATGGCTCATCCATTTATATATTTATCTACATGGTGTATATGGATTCATTCATTCCTCTCTCACGCTCTACTCGCTAGTCGTATTATAATTTGTTTTTTTTTTGAAATAAATTATTCTAGTTGCATCATTTAGCTTGCTGAAGGTGATCCATCGATTATCCTGTCGATTTTAATACAAGGTATGAGAATAAACACACGAATATCCGCCGCAGCGTGAAGGGATATTGGAACTCATGTTCTAGAGTAAGGTAAAGTGCGTATGTATCCGTACCATTTCGACCGATTCTAAGCCAGGTTACACAGCGTCTCCAACCACTGGTGGGGGTTACCGTGCTCACCCTAACTGAGTAGTCTGAACTTACCATCTGGTTTTTAAGATGTCATATTATTTACTTCTTACTGTTGAGCAAATTCTTTCCATGAAGCTGTATTGCAGTTACTAAATTAAGTGACTTAGGATGCTTGGCTACCTTTGTTTTAATGTTAGATCGTTAGAGACAATAAGAAACCTCAGACCTACTTTTCATGCTAGATGGCACTCGTCAACAAGTCTGCAATTTTTCAAGATATCAGTTAATCTTAACCTCTTATGTAATAATAGATTACGTATAAAAATGCGTAGAAGTCTTATGTATATCAGTAAGTGAAAGTTTAAACCACAGATTTTTTAACAAATTACACACTGGATCTAGAATTTTTTTGTATTACTATTTACTGATGAATTGTTTGGTGTATTTGTTCGTTGACTGTTCACCAAGTACAGTTTAACCTTATTTAATCCATCAGTTATGGCACTCAGTGAGTGCCAGCCCCCAAATGCCCTGGTACGGCCGAGAGTGGGGAGAGTCCACTCTCCCTCTTGAAATGCTCTCACATGGCCACGCGTATATAGCCTCTGCCAGGGAAGTCCTACTCGCTGCCTTCTCGTAACCGGAGTGTTGTTTTAAAATTGAGAGGACGAAAAGTGATTGTCCGACTCTTTAACTGGGTTGGTGGACACAGAAAGTTCACCTAGAGAAGTTATTAGTAATCGACGTGGGCTCCAGTATCCTGAAGGAACAAATGGCGTATGAATCAATCGTTGGTCACTGGCTACCATGGGTTTGCATCTACTCACGATGCTTCACTGCCTTGTGGATCAGATCTCTAAGTCGAAGGCTCCGAGTGTGGTCCCCTAAGAAAACCACCTGCTTCAGTTTGGGCACTCGGGCAGTATCACAACCCTCACACAAATCAAATGAGATTTGCGTGGCACATATATATCTGGTGTCCCGTTGTACCAATAGTTATGTGTTTAAATAAAATCAATCGAGATTATTTATTTGTGTGTTTGATATTCACTGTTTTCTACATATTATCCACTTTGTAATAGAGCAACAAAACGTAAACGTCGACTTATTGTTGATGAACAAAAGTCAATTCCAAGCGAAGTTATGAAATCTCAAATGGAGAATACTGCTGATATCACAACTCAATTAGATTTGGCACCACCAACTAAAAAATTAATGCATTGGAAAGAGACAGGTAGTGTAGATAAATTATTTGTTCTACCTGGTCGTGCTATTCCATCACGTGTACTGCAACGCTTATTTATGCGTAATTTATATACTCAGGCTATTCCAGATGATGTTACTGGTACAGGGGAATCTTTTCAAACATCTAATTTACTATCTAATCTGTCGTTTAGTTCAACTACCCAACAACAGCAACCGCTTCCTGATCAATCGAATATGCTAACCAATTCAGAGGTACCAATTATTCTTTCAATAATTGTTTGCTTTAAATGTACATGTTCATGTGTCACTGGCATTAAAATAACATATATGTGTACGTGTGTGTGTGTAATTTTGTTTTAGTGTCCTAACCTTCTTCTAGGCAAGGTGTTTGTATTCAGTACTTTAATTACTACTGATATTGTCATGAAGTTTTTAGTTTTTCATGAGGCGATCGTAGCTTTGATTTATTTGTATTGGTTGTTTGAATCTTCTCAGTGATGTTGAGCACCGCAACTGATCAGTCTCTTTTTGGATTACATGTCTTGTCCGGATCGCCTTGATATTACCATTATGTCACAAGCATTATAAGCAGAGATAGATAGTGATTGACAATGAAATCCAGGACTCCATTTTCGTTCTATTTGGGACTCTTCAGTTGGGCATACCTACATCCCAGAGTTGATGGTCACCGTGGGACTTGGACCCAGTACCATTCGCTTCAACATCAACTCTTGGGTGCAGATACATCCAAGTGATCATTCCCAAGTAGAACGGAACTCAAGTCCTGGATCTTACTACTCGCCACCATGGATCCCAGCTTTTAGTCGTAGCTTTAGGTTGTACATTTTCAGTCTTATCATGTTGGCGATATCATCAACGAAACGAAAGTGCAATACTAAAGTTACTTGTGTATTGCGCACACGAACCAGAGATCTCTATCATCGTAAAAGCAGTGTTTTTGTCCAGGTGAATTAATATAATGACATTAATAGTAGGTGAATCGTACTGATGAACAACACTCTAAGTTATAAAAAATGTACTATTTTCCTCCCTCCCCAGTTGTTCACATCTCAGTGAGTTTCAGGAATGTTCAGAGCCATAAACACTTCAAATTATCTACTGTTGTTCTTTTTAATTAAATCTTTGTTATGAACTACAATAGAGACTTCAGTAACTCTTTGATCCGTTTTTCTCATCGACCTTTTCTGTTACCTGATTAGGTACTAACGCTTCTAGTTTGTGGTTTTTGTTACATGCTCCAAGAATATAATTGTTATTACAGTTATTGACTGTTGGTTCGAACCATGTTGGTAGGTGAAGGACTACCTGGTTGTGGTCCACCAGATAATTGTATTCAGTGACTGAACAGACGTAAGGTGATATGACTGGAAACCGATCTTGTTGACGCAGATGCATTCACTCTTGGTTTAGCCTTTTGATATCTTAAGTTTCAATACTGCATGGTCTTTGTTTTCCAAATCCTATTGCTTTTTTTCAGTCGTTCCTCCTTAAGTCTATTTCACAATTATTGTAACTTATTTCCTTATGGATGTTGTTAATTTCCTCTTTCACTATGCTTATATGATGTAACAATTTGGGCCGAAAGATGTATTTGCATTAGGTACCACATTGATTATAACTGACCTCCCTTCATTTAATCTACAAAGTTACGTCTTGTTTTAGAAATACTTTGTTTATTACTATAAGACTTGTTGTGCATCCCTATCAACCTTTCTTGGACATTGTTCTTGCTCATCATTTTCTTTATTTGTTGTTTATCTTTTATAGCAGGCTTTACAACCAAACACTTCATTTGATCAAAGTATTCAACAGCAACAGTCTACTGATGTATCCATTTCTGAATTTGGTGAAACAATAAAAGATTCAATGCAATTACCTCAAAAATTGGGTCCTATCTCAGAAATCCCAGAAGACGAATCAGGTCCATTTGCTACTTCACATGGTGAACAGTCCAGGCCAACACCTGCAAGTAAGTTCGTTGTTATGTGTGTGGGTATATATAAACATAGGATGGTGGTTCAGAGGTTATTAAAACACCCAACTTTTACACATTAAGCCAAAGGTTCGAACCCCGTTCCACTTCGGTTTGATCAAACGAGTATTGTCACTACCCTTCATACTCAGAATGTAGCTCGAAATCAAATATACTAACCAGTATCTGGTAAATGAATTGGTAAAAAAGTATATTAGTGCGTGTTTATGCAAATTTACAAAAATTTCATGTGTGATTTGTCTTTTAAGTATATACGTTTATTCTCTTCTCTCGTGATGTTGCGACTCAGAAATATTGCGAGACAAAACGTTTCTCGTTGTGAGTCATCTTGCAATTAAAACTACTCATGTCTATTCATAACATAAAGTTTATATGAAAAGTTTTTAGAACGTTTCCGTAATGAGCACTGCCGTTGATTAAAACGGTGAAAGCTTATACTCTGAATATGCTATGCACATATGTATAGAATATGTATTGTTTTTTTTACATATATCATCATCACCCCCTCCCTTCTCTCTCTATCTTTTGTTTAGCATCTCATGGTGCCGATAATAATCAAGATGATCTTGATGATGAACCGCCTATGCATGATGATTTAGCATTTATGGTAGAACCGGAAACACCTTATCTTGCACCTCCAAGTATTTTATCAGAAGCTCCACCAAGTGTAATGCAAGTAAGTTGTAAGTTTTGAGAAACTCAAAATTTCTAAGGCATTGCATACACTTATTGTATGCTAAATATTAAAGTATTAATCATTATACAGTAATACAATTATCAAAAGATTACCTGGGAGTAGTTTCTAGAGATTTGTTCATTTTTAAATAGGATTTGTCATGATCACCGAGCAAGTAATGCAGTTGTTAGGAAACGGATACTGGGTAAGGATGGTTAATGGATTGATGAAGTAGTGAAACTTCATCAATTGAGATGACTGAGACACGTATTACGTATGCCAAACCACCAAATGCCTCGACGTGCAATGTTTTATGGTGTAGGAGGAGTAAGCTGGAAGGAAGCTAGGGGCGGTCAAACCAAAAAGTGGCACAAATCCATGAAGTCACTAACAATTGGACTGAGCCATGTTGGTAGGTGTAGACTACCTGGTTTAGGATTCGCGAGATGATAGCAATCGATGGTTAGAGACCTCGAATGATATGGCTCAAAATCGTTCATGCCCCTATCCTTTTTCTCTTTCCAAATTTATTTCACTGAATTATACTCCTTCAATAACATCTTCAAACCCTAATCTTTACGATTACTGCTTATAATCTTACTACTCCTACCACTATGGGATTTGAATCGACAACTGTATCTCTGTGTTAACGTGGTATGGCAACTCGAGCTGACGTACGTACGTACGAAGTTCTACGTTGTGACTGACTGACATCATTATGTCTCTATATCACCAATCGGGAAATATAAACTATTTTCTTCCCATTTAACAGTCATTTACTCTGTGCGTGAGATCCAAAGATTTTAGGTTCGATATCGTTATCAGGTTGTATATCTATGTATGCATATTCTCTCTCAATCTTCATTGACTCGTACTGTAGTGAACAGAACACGACTAGGGACAATCGAATGTATTTAAGCACAAATTACAAACTATTTCACTAAATTCTGTTAACCATACAACAAACAGTTAATTTACAAGATAACAATCAATTGTCTTAATCTTCATTGTTCCTTCTGCAAATATCAGTCCGTCTTCTCTGATTTCATTGTTCATGCATTTTCGTACCGACTGTACTTCATTTCTGTTCGTTCCTTATCGATCTTCTGCCAAAATACATTCTATGTCTGACCAACACCATAAACTACTTATATATGGATATTATTAGACCACATCGCAGTACAATTTCAATTAAGCTAACAATAAAAAATTAATTAATTCAATTGACTCATGATTTCAACTATGAAAATATTGAAATATCCACAAAAAACCCTTCTGATCTATAATCATATGCTCACTAGTGACTGGCTGTGAGGAATGTTTCCTTGAGTTCTAGTGGGAAGCAGTGACCAGTGGAGTTCAACCAAGTCTGTTGTAGAGATATCAACTCACTGAAGACAATTAGTGAACGGTTGCTCAACTTCGTGGATCAGTTGAAGTTAGACATTAACACCGTTGGATGCCGGCTCAGTAGTCTATCGGTTAAGTACTCCGACGTGAAGCTGGTAGGTCCTGGGTTCGAATCTCGCCAGTGCGGGGTCGTGGATGCGCACTGCTGAGAAGTCCCATAATAGGACGAAACGGTCGTCCAGTGCTTCCAGGTTTTCGCTGGTGGTCTAGCTTTAATTGACTCATGATTTGAACTATGAAAAAAAATTAACTATTTATTAAGAAACGGTACCTTTTTGAAGGTATACAAGTAGAAAATTTCTAAAACCTCTACAAAGTGAATTATATTTTCAAAGTTTATGACAGCCTACATGTAATGAAAGTAATATAGATGAACAAAATCAATCATATCAATCTATCAATATGGTATATGACAAGAAAAGATTTATACTTGTTTTTAATTTTTTAAAATGGTTGTCAATAATACACACACATACATCCTTCAAACTAGAAACACACTTATAAGCAAAGATTGATAGTAGTTAGCAGTGGAATCCAGGATGCACGTTTCCTCCAATAAAAGATTGATCAATTGCAGTCTTAACTAACAGTGGTAAGATACAAGTAAATAACATCAGGTGAATTTAAAACTTCACCTCCATTGCACAAGCAGGTGCCTATCTGGACTCAGTAGCTAAGTGGATAATGCGATGGTGTTTGAAGATGGTACTGGGTTTGAGTCCCAGAGTGAATGTCAACTCTGAGATGGAAGTACATCCAGCTGACGAGTCCCAAGTAAGATGAAACGCGCTTCAAACTGGATTCCACTGGTAGCCTTTATCCATCATTGCTAATAAAGCTTGTGAATTAAGGTAAAATCGAGGGAGTCCGCACAGGATGCACATATGCCGATAATAGACTGACTAATTGCAGTTCTAAATAACAATGGTAAGATACAAGTAAACAGAACCAAATCTCTTGATAAGTCTAATTTTAATTTTTCAATTATGTACATATCGCTTACACCTAGCACATAACTTTATATGTTTGGCTTTCAGTTATACTTTGATTTTATCTATGTATTTGTGTGTGAGTAATAATCATTCCACCACTACTAATACTGATACTGTGGTGTGTGTTAGATATAAGTAGTATGTAACAGGAATAGGTAGTGAAATGCTTACCAGAAGATTGAACTAGAGAGAAAGGGAAAGAAAATGTAGAGCAATCGGAATAATAACATAGTATTGTAAAGGACAACTCGTGAAAAATGTTCAAATTATGTATTTAATGTATAATTTTCATATTTTATAAAGACACTATGTGATTTGTCATAAAGCAATAAATTGGTTTACTGTACCGAAGTTTTCGTTCACTACACTATTATTACTACTACTAATACTACCACTACTCATCAGCCGAAATAGAAGTGGATGTAGTTATGTTTCGAAACCGTGATATAGTGGTTGAAAACTGAACTGAACTTATACTAAAGTCCTATATTCAATTTCTCTGGCTCACAACTGGATCTCATAGTTAAGTGACATGTTGTCAATCCTTACCTTCTAATACTGTTTTATATTTCTCTTTGTTTTTCTCTGTTCCATATTTGTACATGCATCATAATTACTCTGACAATATTTCACCTATGATATATTTTAATAGCTAGATTCTAGTCGATCTAAGCTAGACCGTCATTGAAAACCTGGAAGCACTGGATGACCGTTTCGTCTTAGTATGGAACTCCTCAGCCAGTGCTCACCCACGATCCCTCACGTGGGATTCGAACCCAGTACCTTCTGTCTTGCGCGAACGCTTAATCTGTATACCACTGAGTCAGTATCCAACGGCGTTAACGTCTGACTTCAACCGATCCATGATCTTGTGCAACCATTCATCCATTATCTGATGTGGATACAGTCTCCACAAACTCCCATTTTGATAATTGAGTTCAATCTGTGTCGGGTAGATGCAAGTACCTACATCAGACAATGGATGAATGGTTGTGCGAAATCATGGATCAATTGAAATTAGACATCATTAACACCACTGTATATCAGCTTACTGGTCTAGAGGTTAACCGTTCGCGCGCGAAACTGAAAGTCTTGGGTTCAATTTTCGCGAGCAGGATCGTGTATGCGTACCGTTGAGGAGTCCTATACTAGAACGAAACGGTCTTTTAGTGCTTCCAGGTTTTCAAAAATGGTCTAGCTTATATTGACTTATGAATTCAACTACCAAAATGAACACAGTCTCTACAAACCACCATTCCGAAAATATATTATGTTCACATGGTCTTATTATTATTATTACCTTAATCTGACATATAAACTTCTATTATATATACTTTATTTACATGATATATCTTATTACATTATGTTCTTATTCTAACTTGAAACTATCCAATGAAAGCTCTTGCTTCTCTTTAAAATTTGTAGTTGAAACATTTTAGATGTATTTAAACTGCGATGGATGTCTGAAGTTCATTATTGTCGCATCCAATATTGTCTACTTCACTTTATCTTGACCATTATTTTATTTATTTATTTAAACACATAAATATTGGTACAAGAAAGCACCAGATAAATATGGGCCTCACATCTCATTCGATTTGTGTGAGGGCTGTGATACTGCCCAGGTGCCCAGACTGAAGCATTATTATAGACTGACCATTGTAATACAATAATTATGGACTGATATCTATGAAGTCCTTAATGATAAGCCTCTGCTGGAGATGTCTTACTCACTACCTTCTCGTGGCTGGGGTGTTGTTTACGAAATTGAGAGGACGAAAAACGAATGCTCGACGCTTTAATTGGGTTGGTGGACACGGAGATTCCACCTGGGGGAGTTGGAAAACTCTGATTCCAAACCAACGGTGCACATGGGCTCCAGTATCCTGAAGGGAACAAATGGCGTATGAACCCAGCGCTGGTCACCGGCTACCATGGGACTGCATCTCCTTACGATGCTCCACTACCTTGTGGATCAGACCTTTAGGTCATAGGCTCCGGGTGTGGTCCCCTAAGTAAACAACCTGTTTCAGTTTTGGCACCTGGGCAGTATCACAGCCCTCACACAAATCAAATGAGATTTGTGTGGCACATATCTATCTGGTGCTTCCTTGTATCAATATTTATATGTTTAAATAAATAAATAATCATAAGGTTATATTGCAAAGCAGTTTTTCATTCAAATATTCCTTGTTCTTGAATACTTATTGGGTATGTCTAGAGTATTTTTTTTGCTCCTCTGAAATTTTACTTCAGGTTGATATGTTGGCATTAGAACGTGAATTAGCCGCAGCTGATAATGAAGTTGATAATGAATTAGAAAATGTATTTAAAAATGATGGTAGAACATGTGATGGTTTATTATCTGGCAGTGGTTTTCCTGGATCTGAAGCTCCTCTTTCAGTTGATGGTTTACCATTGGAAACAGCTGAGGAACGTCGTTTAGAGAAACGTTCTAAAGTGTTATTACGTATGTTACGTGTACATCAACAACAATATGGTTGGAATGAACCGTTAACATTACAAGGTTTATGTCATGGTAATACAAAGAAACAAGTAAGTCAATCTGTTATTTATTTATTTCTAAATATGTTTTCTGTGCATATGTAATGGTATATTTAAAGGAAATTCGTATTTCACCAGTAGAAGATGCACAAAATGCTGGTGGCTCAAACTCCATCTTATAAAGTTTCATTTAAGCGGATAGTGTATTACTACTGTGTTACTCAAAATATGGAGCACACTTTTCCTGCAGATTGACCAGGTTGTAGAGAAATTTCTACTGTTTTTAATTGGATGTACAATGAGGAATATATTTACGACATATATCTTATGAATAACAAAAAATTCTCCACCTCTCTGACGATGACCAGAATCAATAGTCAATATCTTCATGAACATTGGGATATACAATATCTTCCTCTATGATTGACTGGTTTATTTCTGAATATTTATAGCTCAGAAGAAAAATTTCGAGATTCTACATTGCTAAATGTGTTGGTCTGTCTAATTGTTCCAAAAAATAGTAGCTCATTGATAACGTCCCAGACCGTAAAATATCTAGTATTTTCCAAGATTGTGGATATACCGTAATTGCTCTCACTTTTATTTCATTTATTTAAACACATGAATATTAGTAATAGGAAGCACCTGATACATATGAGCCACACAAGTCTCATTTGATTTGTGTGAGGGCTGTGATACTGCCCGGTAGCTCAAACTGAAGCAGGTGATTTTCTTTGGGGCCCACACCCGGAGCCTTCGACCTAAAGGTCAGATCCACAAGGCAATGGAGCATCGTAAGAAGATGTAGTCCCATGGTAGCTGGTGACCAACGATTGATTCATACGCCATTTGTTCCTTTAGGATACTGTAGCCGATGCACGCCATTGGTTTGAAATCAGGGTTTTCCAAATCCCCTAGGTGAACTTTCCGTATCCATTGACCCAATTAAAGCGCCGGACATTCGCTTTTCGTCCTCTCAATTTTGTAAACAGCAGTAATGGCACGAGAAGGCAGTGAGTAGGACTTCCCTGGTAGAAGCTGTATACGCGAGGCAATATGAAAGGATTTCGAGAGGGAGAGCTGACTCTCCCCACTCTCAGCCATACCAGGGCATTTGGGGGCAATTGCTCTCACTAACTGGCATGAAATTTTGGTCTGAAAGGTTTATCTACCTACTTTCATCAACCTCGTAGTGTCAAAAAAGTAGTTCAAATGATGTTGAGACACTAGCTGCCACATTTTAATTTGATCGACCCTGAATCATTAGATAAATATGATGCTACTAACTACTAAGTAATCAGTCAATATTTTTTCGTACTTATTTACATTACTTTTCACACTAACAATAAGTATTCTGTGTATGACTTCATTTTTATTTCGAATAAAAACAGAAATTATTGTTTTGTTGTATATCATCGATACTAGTGATCAGTGTAACGTAACTAAATCGATGGTTGTATACTAAGATATGAGATATTAAAGTCATTAATCTTAGCCTAGGATACAGTGTAGTTGAAGTCCCTAAAATTCAATTGTTATTAGTTGAGGGTATCAGTCAGTTTATTTCACAGTAGTTAGTATTTCCCAACTCTATGTGCATTCAAATGAGATTAGTTCAAAAGTTCTAGCCATTCTTCTGTTAAAAGAGTATGGTATTGCTTATTCCACTAATTTAACTCAAAATTCAAGTGATAAACAGTTTATATTTAGGTAATAAGGTGCATCATCATTGCCTAACTTGTTTTTTGTTCAAACGTATTCATCTACAATCTGTCAACGTCTAGTTTAGTTTCTACAACTTGAAGTTATTGTTTATTGATATATATATCACTGTTTTTGACTTATCACTCATTTTGTCTTATTTTTTTTCGCTTGTACAAACATCAAAATTCAAGGCTGCTTCAAAATTCTATACAGTTCTACTATTACGTAAACAAGGAGCTGTGGAATTAGCACAAGAAGTTGCCTACTCAGATATTTATATATCCCGTGGACCAAACTTTTTCCGTTTAGTGGAAACATAAATTGTTTTCATTGACCCTTTTTTAAGACGTTCTCTTGCTTCTCTGTTTTTCGCTGTTGTTTCATACATACATACACACACACTGCCTTACTCCACTCAGACGATCAAAGCTTCACATTATCCCTTCATATTGCGTTTTTATTGACTACATACATGTATCTTTGTGAATCTATGTATATGTATTACTCTCTCTCTCTGTCTGTCGTTACTTATATCATTGCTTATTTTTAAAATGCATTTCATAAAAGAGAATAACTTTTCTGTTTACTTTTTTGAATTTATCATTGCTATAATCAATCCGTGTATAAATATTTGATTTTTTTTCAATTATATTAATATTATATACATGTATGTAATTTACTTTTTAAGATGATAGTGTAAATGTAACATTCTATTTTTTCGTATTACAAATATATACATACCTTTAAAAAAAGCTAAAAACTTAAGAAGTATCTTCATTAGTCTTTTTGGAACTGTCAAATGTAACTGGAAGTTTTAGTTAAGAGAAATTTCACCGTTTGATAAAGTAATTTCTAAACTTAAAACGTTACTCAACTCAAACGACAGTTTAAACATAAATTTTAGTATAAAGGGGCACCAGATATATATGCGCCATACAAATCTCGATTGATTTGTGTGAAGGCTGTGATAATGCCCGGGTACCCAAACCAAAACAGGTGGTTTTCTTAGGGGACCACACCCCGAGCCTTTGACCTAAAGAACTGATCCACAAGTCAGTGGAGCATCGTCAGGAGATGCAGTCCCATGGTAGCCGGTGACCAGCGCTAGGATCATACGCCATTTATTCCCTTAGGATACTGGAGCCCATGTGCACTATTGGTTTGGAATCAGAGTTTTCCAACTCCCCTAGGTGAACTTTCCGTGTAAACCAATCCGGTTAAAGCGCCAGCCATTCGCTTTTTGTCCTCTCAATTTTGTAAACAACAGTAATGCCACGAGAAGGCAGTGAGTGGGACCTCCCTGACAGATGGTTTATACTCGTGGCCATGTGAGAGCATTTGGAGAGGGAGAGTGGACTCTTCCCACTCTCGGCCGTACCAGCGCATTTGGTTCCGATCATAGTAAATTGTGGTTCAAAGTGGTTAGCTTACGTTTTATATTAGTCAGACCAGACATCGAATAACGTCTTGTATTTCATCAGTTAATGTAACTGGTACGTACATGTGATGTGTTAAATGGAAACCACGTTTCATTGTATTCCATTCTAACCGGTTTTTTGTCTTGTCAACCAGATGTTACAGTCAAATGTTTTTCATACTTCAAGTCTTGTTTCTACTCTTTTGATTAAGTCACGTTGGTTCGCTATTGATTTTGTTCTGGAAAACATTTAGCCGTTAATAAGTCACAGCGGTTTTAGCTTAAGCATAATTTAAGTCTTACATCTAGTAATGTTACTTTCTCGTCCGAATTCGGTCACGAAATCTTCGTTCAAGCAATCGGGACCCTAATGAACCAATAAATCAGGAGTCAGGTTTGTATATTCTTACTATTTGACGAGTGTCCTGAATCAAATTGTTCTAGATTTCTCCGGGATTTGTATGTTTCCCAGACTAACTCCTAGTGTAGCGGTATATACTTTACAAGGTGGTGCAAATGTCGTACCAGATGCCTTTGGAAAAGATAGGGCCTTAAGGGTATGAGAAGTGTGTCGAACTGTGTGTTATATGGATTAGTGTGTCGATTAGGTTGTATCTTTCCCCGCAGCAACTATGTGTCAGCAGAATTTATTCAGAGAAATTGAAAAAATTTATCAAAGTATATACTCTACTGTCGAAATGTAGAGATTCCAGAATCTTAGATGCCAAGATTATTGGAGATGTTAAATTACTTAAAATATGTCTTTGGAATAGGTGATATAATCGATTGACAACGATGGTTTGGTTTATATTCAGCAATGTTTTCAAGAGTGAGCAAATAACTATATAGTGAAGGCCTTTTCAGACCAATTTCATCACCAATCTAGAAAAACAATTCAAAATATTAGGTGAATGGATATTCTTGGATTTTTCACGCGATGGACTGAAGCAGTTACTATCAAGGTTATTTTTAATGAAACTGTTATGTGCGCTGAATATATTGAACTAACACCTGATCCGGTTTACGAACGACATCTGTTCATTTGATTTTGCACTATCGAAGTATTCGTCCAACCTGAATTACATTATATTCCACATCTATTTTTACAGATTCACCTAATGAGCTTATAAATGACGCCGCAATCCAAAAGTTTGTATAAAAGTACTACCCGAACGGTAAGCATGGAATAGAGGATGTCATAATTGATCTGGTAATGAGAGTAAATTTGAAAGAGTAGGACTGTTGAACTGATTTTTATTTTACAAGGGATGACACTGACGAAATAAGTAACCTTGTGCAGCACTAAATATTAAGTGACCACAAGGATAACAATTTACTAAATGAATACAAATTTGAAAGGCTCTGACAGAATTGTACGGTCTACATAGCATGTTCGGTTTATTTTCACTCCTAGTTATTCGGCATCTTGTTGGTTGACAATGTCACAAGCATTTGCGACCTGTTTAAAAGTGTTCACATGACCGATGTTCAATAATATAGGACCTACCTCTGAACTGCGAACTACCTAAGAATATGTGGCCCGTAAGAATAGGACCATCTAGAGAAAAATACTTATCACCTCACCTCAGAATAGTATTTCTTACCTGCACTCAGTTCCGTGGCCGGAAAGCAGTTTTACCAAAAATTGATTTTATGACTAAAAACCATTTCTTCTAAGCAAAAAAACTGAAAAGGAAATTATATTTCGTAAATTTGGGGACGAAAAGTTGTACATTACTATCATATATTTTGGAGATCAACAAATTCCGAGCAATAATGAACGGATGTATGCTATTTCCAGCATCACTGTAAGCTAATATGGTTGCCGCAATTCTTCATGACTTCTGTTTAGTTTAATTTCCAGTTACATAGTAGTCGCCATCTTTTGAAACGATCCCAAGTTGCTTCCTTTTACTACACTCATAGTTTCCCGTCATTGTGAGATGTGTGGTTTGCTAATGTTGTAAGTTAGATTTGTCCGAATGTCAATTAAAAAATTAGTTGCATTCAGCTGAGTTCGTTATACCTCTCAGTATCACAAATAATCCCTTCACTGACCACCTTTCGGGGTACTAATCTGTCTTGAGTGCGGCCTGAATTATGTGACATCAACCGGGAATCATTTGAGCTCGTAAGAGTATCTTAGTAATCTATATTAAACAGCAAGGTTCTTTGCTTGTCATTATTTATTAGTTCGGTAGATCACTAACGTAGATGATCAGTGTCAAATGTTTGTGAGCCTACTGGAGTTAGATGGGAATGGTGTTACCAATTAGCTAACGTCGTATTGATACCTCGCGATTAGTGTCTGACGTGGAATACTCCTGACCATAACCAGGTGCTATGTTTACTTTGATGACTGTACAATGCAAACGAAGTTATTAGAGAAAATATAACAGTAAGAGTGTGTGTAAGCAACAACGCACGACCACCATCATGTGGGCCAGTCAACGACCTACAGTTAACTGATACGCATTGCTTGTCTTTGACCTTGACGAAAATAGGTGAACTGTTCGATAGCCAGTGACTCGACTACCTGATGGTTTGGTTAGGTTTCAGCGACATTTCAGATGTGATACAGTTCCGAACGGACTTTGGAATTTCATGTGATGAAGATGCGTCTGAATGTTTTACCATCAATAATCCTAGCTCATTTTCAATGTTCCTAAGCTAAGGTTGGTTTGATCGTATTCAACCAAACTGCATTTAGGACTAGGGTTTGAAACTATCGTAATATAGGAATTTATAATTTTAATAGTTTCTGAACTTCGTGTTTCGAAACATCAAATTCAGAATAACATGATCTAAATGATTATAAATTGACGGGTTTCTGTATCAAACTTATAAGGATCAAGTTTATCCTTCAAGAGCTGAACATATTGTAGTTTTGCAGCATTTGAAATGAAAACAAAACAAGATTTTATAAACTTGAATTTCTTTCGTTTCAGATGTAAACGAAAACCTTGTTTAGTCTGTTTAAATATTTTAAATAAATGTATTTTTATGACCTTGATTGCTAGAAGTACTTTCAAATCTCTCAAGGAAATGTGCAAGTATTTTAACTAGATGTCACAAGACTCTGCATCGAATTCTCTCCCGACGTTCAAAGTGAGGTTTGCATAAATATTTATTCATTATTTGTTTTCAACTGATTTCTTATGTATCGATGTAAAATAAAGTAACTTTTTCACATTTAAAATTGTTTATTCACATAATGCAGACATGTAATACCAAGTAGTTTTTAGACTTGAGCTATTCAGAACGTTAAGAGTTAGCTTTTGCTTTGTTATAATGGTGTCGGAATAGCACTTATCTTTGTGTGAAATAATATTACGAGCAGCATTTTGTAAGGAGACGTAGAAGCAATGTTATACTAGGTCTCTGTCTGATAATAATTTTGTTCTAAAGAAAACTTATTGTCAAAAAATTTTATTCTGTAGAGATTTAAGTATGTAGATTTCACACATGGTTTTTTAAAAGGGTGTAATTAATGTGTTCTTGACTCCTGTTGTAAAGCACTTTTAAAAATGATGCATTAATCGACATGAAGAAATTGACGATTGTCTGCAATCATTAGTTCCGGATTAAATCTGCATTCCTGTGTTCTTGATAGATCTGATTCAATGAGCTGAAATACCTGCGGGTCCGGACGGACCAACAATGAATAGGAAACTAATTTATGCATAACATACTGTTATTTCAAAGAACTATATTACCTTTCAATTGAAATCCATTATTGAGCACGAATTTTAAAGCAATGCACTTCATTAGCAAAAACTACGGCCTATATTAGTCTCAGTAACATCATAAACTTGGCAACTTTTTAAATATATATTCGTAAGCGTTTAATTGACATCTACAAATAATCATCAAGATGTAACGACATGATTGAGTATGATAAAAGCTTCGAAATAAAGTGCCGCAGTGTCAAAAGGGGTTATTCTACTTTTAGACATATTGCGTTGTTAAAATCTCCAGTTTTTTAGTTTAGAACATGTATAAGGAAATCATATTGTTTTCATTGAAGTCCTCATCAGGCTTTACTTTAATGTGGAGTAGTGTTCGTAAACATGTCTGAAAGCGCCCGACCAATCGAGGGAATTTATGAGTCTGTGATAACATCAATAATTAAACTCTATAGAACTCCTTTATGTCACACGTAATAGATAATAGTCATACAGTAGATTAAAACATGTCATTTAAATTAGTTTGTCGCATACCTACCACTTTCTTCATAGGTCTTACTCTCAGGTTTTACATACAATAAAAGTTTGGCGGATTCGACCTATCACCTCAAAACCTTATACTTTTAAGGAATTCGTAGCATGCTTTTCTCTTTCGTAGCCAATTAAGTCAAGCAAACGATTTTGCTTACCACTATTCCGCGAATTATTTGTTTATTTATTTTTTATTGTTCCGTTTTCAAATATATTACTTTTTGTTTAACTATTTGTGCACCCATCATTATGTAATCTTCATAGCTTCTCATGTATGTTATTTCAGTGTCTATTTTTTAAGTTTTTGGTCTACCTCCCAGCATGAAACACTCATTCGGGTATTTATCGGTCCTACCATAAATAGTACACTTTTAATCACACTGCCGATCTGTAACTTTGCTTATTGCGTTTATTCTCTTTATTCTATTTCCTCGCTGTAAGTGACTTAAAGTACCTTGATTGGCTTGATAGTATTTCGTATATGTGGATATAATTATTACTATATACTAGAGTACAGATTGACAGGGATATAATTGAAGGTAATATTATTTATTGATATCTGTCGTTCGAATTGAATAGTGTTGCATGATGTTAGAGCAGTGGAGTAAATGATATTGTTTTGCATTGCTGGATTTTACAGATTATCGAGTTTGAAATCGAGATAAAACTTAAACACAAGGTAGATAAATATCTATCAGCCAGTCAGTCGTTTAGAGTTTAGAAACGTGGCACTTGTATGGGTCATTTTAAGATATGACTCCACTCTAACACATCAAGATGAGACTGACGTGACATATCCGAATTTATAAGGATCAGTAACAGCATAATTAGCGGTAGAAGCGACTAGATACAGAAGAAGGATTATGTAAGGTATTTGTCTCTATTCTTTATTTACTAAACTTGAGTTGAGATCACCCACGTGATCTGCAACTACTTACATGGCAGTCATTAAATGATGTTTTGTTTAGAAGTTCAATAAGCAAAACTTTGTAATTATGTACCTCAATAATTAACGACTAAACGTTATTCAAAAATACCATTCCTTAGTCAAAAATATAGGCTTTAAGGACCCATGCACTCACATAAAGGTAAGATGATTGTAAACATGTATTCGATGCGTGATTTAATGACTAAAGTATTAGGTGTTCGTTTATTCGATTTTTTTTTAAATTTCACCATAAAGTCATTTGACCATGAATTATACATGAATGTGACTATTGTATTGTGTTTAAAGTGTTATTTCAAAGCTGTTAAAGGAGGGGAGTTTGTGATCAATTTGAGTTTTAAGACCTTTAGATTGTAAACGTAAGACATAAGACTTTTGTTAATTATATAGTCAGTTCGTTTAATCTTAGTCTTAAATCTGAAACCACATAAACATTTTTCAATTAAAAACTGCGTTGATCAAATATTTTGGGTTCCTTTTGCAGTATAATGACTTTTATTAAAACCTTAAGTGCTTGTTGAATCAGTCCGTCAAACGCAAAGTAGAACATGAAATATAATTACACTATTTGAAATGGTCATACCACGTTAACTGACCTAACTAGTTGGTACTATTTACAGAGCAAAGTTCACTATCATTGGTAATACACGTTATACTATCAATGTGGTTGAATTCATCTAATCGCTAGAATATTAGAATTATTCTCTCGATTAAATATGAATAAATTGCCTATAAAAGTAAATTTGATTTCAACTAGGCAATTAAGTTTTCAGAAGGGGTTTTGTGGATATTTCAGTAATTTTAATGGTTGAGATCGTGAATCAATTGAAGCTAGACCACAATAGAAAATCTAGAAGCACTGAACGGCTGTTTCATTCTATTATGGGACTCCTCAGCACTGCGAATCCACGATCCCATATCGCGGGATTCGCACTCAAGACCTATCAGCGAGCGATTAAACACTAGACCACTAAGCCGGCATTTAACAGTGTTAATGTCTAACTTCAACCAATCCACGAAATTGAGCGACACATACACGTTTTCAGTAACACTAAGAACTATAAACATCAAATTGGTTTAAGTTTAAAGTAGTTGATCACTTTAAATCTTCAAAAAACTGGATTATTATTCATTATTTTAGTTTATCAGGAAAACAATGAAAAAAGAAGCACACGATAGGGGGATATTTATAATTACATAACTAGAAAACATGTTATTGTTAAGCGATGCATAAAAATAGTCGACTAATTTAGTTAGATACTAAATTACAATACTGAATACTTGGTTTTTTCGGGTAAAATCATTCTTAATTTTCCAAATCTTTCCAAATCTTTACCCCCTTTACTTATCTGTTTATGAAATTGTTAGTTAGTGGTTTAATTTTTATTAGTAGTATAAAATTCGTAATTAAAGTTTACAAAGTCAGTCAGTCAGTCGGTCAATGAGCTACAACGTAGTACCAGGTACATATATGCATCGGTCCAAGTTACCATAACCTCAATAGCACAACAAGATGAATACCGAATTCATAGAAGTAGTTACTTTAATAGTGGTAATATATAAAAGAAAGGGAAGCATGGAATACAATGCACATCTCAGAACAAATTAGACGATTTGAACTTCGAAGATGACCTAACCCTTCTGTCTCATACACACAAACAAATACAAATGAAGACAAAAAATGTAGCAACAGCCTATGCATCAATAGGCCTGAACGTACACAAAGGAATAAGCAAGATTCTCAAATAAAACACGGAGAACACCAACCCAATCACACTTGATGGCGAAACTCTGGAAGAAGTGGAAACATTCACGTACCTAGGAAGCCTCATTGATAAACAAGGAGGATCTGATGCAGATGTAAAGGCGAGGAATGGCAAAGCAAGGGCAGCATTTCTACAATTGAAGAACATAAGGAACTCAAAACGACGTATTCGTTTGATTTTCTCCCCTTATAAATATTTAGTTTTAATATAATTTCATAGTTTTCATTCATATATTCCATTTATGACTTTAGAACTGGTTTCGTTATTAATATGATTATAAAATCAAGTCATTTACTACTTATCTTATCAACGGTTAGTTGATATGAGTTGGGGAATTGTGAGCGGATACAAGTTTTATCCAGGTTTTACTAAGTGATTGTTAATAAGAAATCTAAAAACAAAGAACAGTCTATGCAAGTATTTAGTGCTTGTGCTAACAAGATTTAATTCATAAAACGGATATCTAATTTACCTCTGTGAGAATACATCATAGATCATGTCAAGCATTAGAATACTAGACCAATGTTTATTCTGTTTTAGGATTTATTAGATCATGATTGTTCTTACATTCCATTGATTGAGTGAACATTATGGCTTCATCTCCTTACTTATCACTTAAGAGGCTTATAAAGTAATTCATTAGATTAGATCCTAATGCTAGTCACTGACAATTGGACTGAGCCATGTTGATAGGTGTAGACTACCTGGTTGGGATTCGTGAGATGATAGCAATCGATGGTTAGTGACCTTGAATGACATGGATCAAAATCGTTTGCAATGGTGAAGTTGCATCCACTCTTTGTATTCTGCAAATTCTAATCTTCTGAATTCTTCATGCCTCTATGTTTTTTCTCTTTCAAAATTTATTTCACTGTATTATACTCCTTGAATAACATCTTCAAACCCTAATCTTTACCGTTACTGCTTATATTCTTACTACTTCTACCAATATGGGATTTGAATCGACAACTGCATCTCTGCGTTAATGTGGTATGGCAACTCGAACTGATGTACATACGTAAGAAGTTCTACGTTGCAACTGACTGACTAGTCACTATCTAAACACATCATTATAGGGAATGATCATTGTATCTATCCAATGAACTTCTATCTTAACGCATAAAATGATTCAATTTAATCCTATAAATCAATCAATAACAGGGAAAAAAATCCAAGTAT